TTAACATGTTTTTGTGCACTCTGTATTGACATTGCATTGATTTTTTAAGACAATGCAGTGTGGTACTGCAAAAACAAAGCTCGCAAACTACACTAATAAACTGTTTTGCCACTGACCAATTCCCCAATTATGAATGAACAGGAAGTGCTCTACATCACTTCCTATTCATTCATGATTGTGGACATAGTAAACATACTATCTCCACAAGTTATGAATGAACAGGAACACTCAGTATAAAATGGGAAATTTGGAAATGGGAAAAATGGGACCCAATGGTGACAATGGTGAATACATTTCCTGTTAGGGTTGGCATGTACAGTGCGAGATAAATATAAAATAGAACAATTTTTAAAGTGAGGAAAGAGGTCTGAAAATCCCAAAATAAGCTCCAGTTGTTTAATATCATCACCACAAGATGTCAGTCAGTGACTAGTACATGTTAGAACAGGCTGCCAACAAAGACAAAGTAATAACACATTACAGTATTTATCAGAATTTACACTGCGCTTTACAGACTGCACATTCACATCACTCCCTACCCTCAAGGAGCTTACAATCTAAGGTCCCTATCTCATACACTAGAGCCAATTTGGACAGGAGCCAATAAACCTTCCAGCATGTCTTTGGAGTGTGGAAAGAAACCCATGCAAGCACAGGGAGGACATGCAAACTCTGTGCAGATAGTGTCCTGACCAAAATCTGAATTGGGGATCCAAGTGCTACAAGGCAGAAGTGCTAAGCACTAAGCCACCCATTCAGATCTGTGAATGGGACCAATTTATCTTTTCAGATGTCGGTTATGTAAACTAAATGCTTAACGACCCTTTCATTGTGTATTAGAATGTGAGATCTAGCAGATATTAGGGTTCAGTTCACAAAGCAGTTTTACTAGTTTGGTTTCTCTCTGCTTTACACACCTCTTCTAGATAAAACACTTTTTAGAGATCAGTTCACATAGTTGCCTAGCACACTTATATACAGTAGATTGCTGTCTAAGTAGTGGTCTTTACTATTAAGGACCCATTCACACTAGCAAGCTGCACTAATCACACAGCTGCTGTTGTGTGCAGTGCTGAGGCATGGAACCCGGTTGTAATTTTTGTGTTAGAACTTTATTGAAATGTCATTAGGTTCTACCAGCACATTGGGGTGCGATGTGGCTATATTGCGTTTCACCATGCTGAGATGACAGCCAAAGTGAAGTAACCAGAATGTTGGGGAAGTACAATGAGTTACAAAATACAAACCTTATATAAGAGAATGCAGAGTGAGCTGTCAGCATTTGTCACAAAACAATTGTGGATTTGTAATAGAAGGAAAAGGTTCTGCTCTGATCTGATACAGCAATGACAAATGATGGTGCTGGGAGGTCTGGCACCGGACTTCGCTCTGCAGCATAATGACAAATGTAGCTTTCAAGGTTCACTTTTATTCTCTATCAGATCCCTTAGAGGGAAGCAGTCTCTTCCCAGAAGATTGTTAGATAAAATTAAGAAGTAAGCAATCATTTCACAACTTTAAGAAGTGTAAGGTCATGTCAGGCCAAGTCACTAAATATATATCTGTATATATTAGGGCTAGTAATGATTAACATTTTCGTGTTCGATTAATCGAAAAAAAATTTAATCGATTAATTTTGATTAATTATAGCGCACATACAGATCCAACTACATTGGCCTATACACATACAGCACAGCAATGAAGTAATAAAATGAACTAGGATCACACTAATCCAGCACGTTATTAATCTCACGTGCCCCACTCAATATGGCCGCCGCTTCAGTGGGGCAACTCAGAATAATAACGTGCTGGATTAGTGAACTAACAGCACAATATTTTTGTTTTCATTAAATAACTTAAACTGCCAAATGTTACAATAAATTGCATTTCTTTTATATATGGATATATATGGAAATATGAAATATGTAAGGGTAGCGCTCACCCCCAAAGGAGCCGCTGAATGATCGGGTCTTCCATAGCCTGTCTAGGGATTATTAAAAACACATGGCTGCCCCAATAGCACTTACCACTTCCAGTGGTTACCGACAGATTGAAGTCCAGACAATAGCTCCAAGATGATTCTCTTTTATTTCTGAACTCCAGGGAGAGAGGGAAGAGGGTCAGGCACATCCAGGATGAAGGTAGACTCCCAGTACTTGAAACAGAGCAAAGTAACTGCTGCCAACACAGACTTGGACCTTTAAGCCATACAGGCAATCTGTGTGGGGAACTTCTGGCAAGCAGTACTGTCAAGGGTCTTGTTCGGGTTCAACTTCAGACATGAGTAGCTGACCACTGGGCCTCCAGGCTCAGGCCCCAGTGTCCAGGCCTAGGCCCCTGGCTTAGGCCTAGTCCATCCTGTCTCTTCAGCAGCAGGCATCCTGCACCAGGCCAGGAGGGCCCCGGGGAAGGGAAGAGACTGTTGCATCAGCCACCCTCAGCATTTATATCCTCTCCCAGCATGCATCACTGCTACTGTCCTACAGTGACTGGCTGGGAGACATAAATGCCCAAAGCAATCCTCATTGGCTGTTCTGCCCTGTGTGGCAACACATCCACCCACAGGCAGACACAGCTTCACAGATTGTTCTGTCACAGTTGAACTGAACATAGACTATAGAAATATTTTAGCACCCCTATAAGTCGGGTGCTACATAAGTGTTCTATAAAGTATTATTGCAAGCAGTGCAATACGCATATACAGCACTATGCAATCGAGATTTTCCACAATGTCTAGACAAAAGACTTGAGGGATATCAAGGGGTTAAGAGTCTGGTTCCCAATGGGGGAGGTGCATCCAGATAATCAAAGCAAAGTCATTTTCAGCTTAGGAGCTGATGGGTCATTTATTACATCTTTAGATAGTAATGGTGTTAATCTCAAAGCGATCACAATCTGTAAAGCCCCCACCAACTCCCTCCTCATTGTGTTCCCTGAGAGCCAGATGTGCCTTTTCTGCCTGGTCATTGATGTGTTTGGTGATGATCCTCTGTGTAATCTTTTGTATGTGTATGTGTATTGGCCAATAGGCCTTGGCTGGTGATCGTGCGTCGGCTAATGAAGGGAAGGAGGGAGGAGTCCGGTGACGTCACGGACATCAACGTCACCGGACTCCTCCCCCCTTCCCTTCGTTAGCCAACTAAATCCAACTTTGTGCCTAATTTATGAAAAGAATAGGGAGAGTGGCAACACCGAGCCCGGTCCGAACCTGAGCTCCTTTGAACCTAGAAGGAGCTCCTCCAGAACATGGAAGGAAGTTCCTTTAATGCTGCCCAATGAGCTGCAGGCTGGTCTAGAACCCCGGCGGGACCGAGGATCAGGTGGGTATATCTTTGTTATTTTAACTCCCTAGAAAAAAAAAAAGAGCAATTAACCCTTGCAGTGCTGGGTTAGCCCCACTGTATGTGCTAACTTTTCTAATTCCTGGATATCTGCTTTAATTTCATCAAGTGATCAATGACCAGACTCGATGCCCATTTATTTTGTGTGTTTAATTTGCCATTATTAGCTTACCAATGCCGTACATTTTAAAGTGAATAGTGCAATGTGAAGATGCAAAGTCAACAGTTCACTGTAAATGTCCTTTAGGGTGTTTATAAACCAACTCAGTAGTATTTTCCCCCTTTTAGAACCAAACTTTGCCTTTAAGTGTATATAAAAATTAAAATAAAATTGTAA